GAACTGGATACAAAGACATGTATGTGTGCTTATGTATGTCCTGGTGGGACTGGGGTGGGGCAATAAGAGTTAGGAGAACAAGCAGGGGGATTCTAGAATATGTTGGGAATACAGACGTAGCAGCACATATACTGGAGAGACTGGAAAGTCAAGTAACAACCCCGGATACTGTGTGTTTTGCCGAGGGCCTATGTTGGAGCATGGGGAAGTCAGGGTGTGAGATGAAAAATCTTAAACCAAGCTTTCCCAGAAGTGCTCACACAGAACAATAGAGAGGTGTGGGTGGACACCATGGCTCACTGTCCCAAAGACGAGGAACAGGTGTTGAATGAACAGGTCCTTGGACTTGCAGTCCCCATTTCACCAGACTGGACCACCTCTCACTCGTTCGTAGACTGGATTTCTGAGGGGCCTTTCAACTGCAAGTAAAGATTTCTCACACAAAAATTTTCAGAATCATTATCACTATTCACACAGGGTTAGCAACAGCATGCATCATGGTGCCCTGTCTTTTAGGTACCTGAGGCCATGGTTGCTTCAGGCCCCTTCCTTTGTATGTAATGGGAAACATGAGATACCAAGTGCCCAGAATGGATGCAGTAATCAAAACTGATAAGGATCTAGTTACTGGCAAGGGTTAGCAGGTCCTGGACAAAGAATGTGGCGTAAAGTGTAATAAAGATAGCAAATATGAGATTGAAATATCAGAGTAAGTAACTTTGTATATTCAGTATAACTTCATATGCATAACATAAAAACCTTTACATATATCATACTATATATAGAATTTCATTTCATATGTATGATAAAAAACCAAGCTCACTGCCATCAAGTCAAACCACAAATATACAAGCATAGGCAAAGGCCGAAATATATGCTCATATGACAAAATAATAATATATAAATTATCAAGGGTTCATGAGGGAGGGGGAACAGGGAAGGAGGGGGGGACATGAGGAGCTGATGCCAGGGACTTAGGTGGAGAGCAAATGTTTTGAGAATGATGAGGGCAACAAAAGTACAAATGAGCTTTACACAATTGATGTATGTATGTATGGTGATAAGAGTTGCATGAGCCTCCCAATAAAATAATTTTTTAAAAAGATTCCCTAAGAAAATATAGGAAAATGTTCTCTGATTGATTTATTTCTGGGCTAGTATTTCTTCTTTTACCTGTATTTATTAAGTTTTGGGGAATTTTAGTGTCCAACTGGTTTACAGGAGAGGAAATGGCATCCTATATACTGTATGTACAACATTGGAATAGACATCATCCAGTTGCCTCAGATGACTTCTACTTATGCAAACAAATCTAATGTCCTGATAACTGTACCCATTTTCTACTGCCTATTGCATGTGGACAGCTGCAGCCTCACCTTCTCTATGGCCCATGGTGACATACCACCACATCCACCCTCATCCTAATCCTTAATACAAGATGCAAGTTACCACCAGCTCTCCTTTCTCCTTTCTCCTCAACCTGAAATAAGAGAATCAATTTCTTTCTAGTCAACCTACCTTCAGAATTCAGAGTCCTTGCCCTATCCCATACCCCTTACTTTCTACAACTCAAATGTCTGCCTTATCACCAGTCTCATATCCATTGCTTAGTGAATGCTGAACTCCTAATAATATTGATGGAAAATTGGAGATACAGATGATAGTGAGGATTGAACAACATGATGAATGTAATTAATGTCACTGCACCGTACATAAAAATATTGAAATAGGAAATACCTTGCTACATGTATACTTTTCAGACACAAACACATGAAGCCTAGAATCATCCTTTAAATAAAAACATCAGAGTCTTAGGAAGGAAAAGAAATGCACCTTGTAAGAACTTCAGTAAAGGGAGAATTGTAATTCCTATAGACTGGTGACATAGTGGTTAGATGTTGGGCTGCTAACTGCAAATTCAGCCATTTGAACCCCACAGCTGCTCCATGGGAGAAAGATGAGGCCTTCTGCTCCCCTACAGATTGAGTCTCCAGAACGCACAGGGACAGTGCTTCTTTGCATGGTATGGTCACTGTAAGTCAGAATGGACTCCACGGCAGTGGTTTTGGTTGTTTGTTTTGTTACAATTTTAAGATGTTTGGGTGGTGCTCTATGATAAGGATTGGGCTATTCCTGAAAAGCTCGGTGTTCAAAATCACAAGAGCTCTGCAGCAGAAATAGGAGGCTGCCTGCTCTCCTGACAATTTATGGTTTGGGGAAGCTCTATATAGGGATTCTATGAGTAGAATCAACACGAGAAAGTAGGTTGGGGTTTGGGCTGGGTTGTAAACTTGTAACACGTTATATAGACCAGTAGTTTTTTGCTGTTAGTTGCTGTAGACCCTAATCTGGCATGTTCCCTCCTTATGCATAACAGAATTAAACATTAACCTGCCCTTTATTGAGTTACTGATATAAGCCTAACAAAATTGAGAGTACCTGTGAATTAATCAGATAAAGTCGTTCCTACTTGATGTAGCACACACAACTCATAATCTCAGTGGTTTAACACAGTGTGGCAGTTATATAATCTCCTGTGAATTTGTGAAGGGGTGGAGTCTAGCCTGTAAGTCATGCCATAGCCAATGGTACCTCTGTGTGGGCATGGCTTTCTCCTGAGGATTCTGGATACTCTTGTCTTCCTCCCTGGAAGTGGGACACACACTTGCTGTGAGACATTCCTGATGACAAGCCAGGTGGAGCTCCAATGATTGAGCTAGAGTCCTGGAGCTGGAAGACCCAGCACTGAGATGCTTCCACTGCCACTGCATCCACAAGACTTTCCACCCATTGGCCTGTGATGTTCCTGAACTCAACATCATTACATGTGTTGCATGAGTCTGAAGAGGAATTTATAGATTGGTATCAGATATATGGGCTAATATCGAACTTATGGACTTGATCTGCTCTGGGCTGGTATGTTTTCTTAATATACAATTACTCTTTATATGAAGTTCTTTCTTATACACATATGAGTGTCTCTGGATTTGTTTCTCTAGTTAGCCCAGCCTAACACATTCTCTCGTTAGCCCAGCCTAACACAAACAGCACATAATGATTTGTATGGGATTCAGGCTGCTTCTCTCAGTTATTTCTGCCATCATGACAAGAGGTCTCCATGCTTGCTGCTGAATGGCAGAGAAGACCTGGTCATGGCATACTGGCTTTTAAATGCCTGGACTCTGAGTGGCTATGAGTGTCTCTCTTCACATTTCAGTAGCACTGACTAGTCTTATCATACAAAATGCAGATGATGCCCACACAAATATTTGTCCCAAGTGTGTTTTGTCCTCACTTTTTTTCTTTTTAGGTCTGAGATACTCCGTTGGACTCATGGCCCTTTTTCTCACTTGGAAGACATTACAGAGATGTGAAAAGATAAGCGAATTGACAGAAGGCTGGCCTGAGCTGAGATCAGTGGAAGAGGGTATGCTCCGGGCAAATGCAGAGCAGGGGTCTATTCTCAGCTCTGCCAAAAATTCTCATGGATTCAAGACTTTCTGGAATCATCCAGGCTGCATGGATCCTCTGAAACTATTCCACTGTGATAATCTTTCAGCCTTCAACTTTTCATATTTTGGGAAGTCATTTTAAAACCAAACAATAATTTAAATGGTTACCAACATCTACAATAAGCATTATGCTATTTTAAGAATTATCTATTTGAGGTCAGGTTATCACAAAAATGTAAATTAGATAGAAAGCTTAAGGGACTGGGAGTTTATGTTACTTGGGGAGGAACCACTCAGAAAAGGAGGGTGGGGGTAGTTATACAACTCAAAGAATGTAATCTAAGTCACTACATTGTACTCTGTACAAACTGTTGAATTCCTGTATGGTTTTCTATATACAGTCTCAACGAAATAAAACAAGACTCTCCTGTTAACTGACATTCCCAAGCTCTCTGAGTTTCAGTTTCTTTGACTGTGAAGTGGGTTTGTTTTGTAGGACTGTTAGAACATGTGTGTTCTTAGGTCTAGGCAAGTCTGTTCCAACTCACAACACTCTGTGAAGGACGGAAGGAAACACACCTGGCCCTGCACCATGCTAACAACTGATGCTATCTGTAGTGTATGGGAAAAACAAAAGGTGAAGACCTAGCACAACCTCTGACGTATCTCAGACCTTTCCTGAATGTGAATTATTGGTAAGTTTCTGTCTTCTCAGAAATCCAGTACTCTCCTCTGCACTTGATCAGTCATGGACTCTGGAAATCACTTGGGACCTGGTGATGTTCCTAAATCATTTTCCTAGAACCTGGTCCTTTGGATCAGATCCTTCTCTCCAAATCGTTTCCATCATGCTCTCAGGAGTTTTGATACTGAAGGTAGCTGTGCAGATATCTCCCTCTCAATTGGGAGATCCATTAATAGGTGGAACACAGGGCATTGTTAGGATGATCCTGAGAGATACTGTCAGGGTGGACAGATGAAATTATGTGCTTATGAAATACTAAAGGACTTTACACCATAATTGTGAAAACTAATGTAAGCTCTGGTATTTGCTTAATAATAACTTATTTATATTGCTTCATGTATTATAACAAATGCCCCAGAGGAATGCAAAATGTTAATAAAAGGAGAAGAAGCACACAAGGGTGAGGGAGTTTGGGGAATTCTCTCTATGTACTGCACAACTTAGCTGTAAACCTATGACTTTTTAAAAAGTCTATTTATTAAAATGACAAGAGAAGAATACTGTACATCCAAAAATGTAACATGGAAAAGACACACGTGAGAGTGTATTCACATATGTCAATTTGTGGAAAGGTGAATCACTGGAGCATCTACAAAAAGGTGCAATTTCATGTTCTGCCTCAAAAATCTCTCAAAACTCACACGTAAGATGGAGTAGAAATGCCCTCTGGGTTTCAATGATGGTAAGCATTAGAATTTTTAAGAGAAAAATGTACAAGAATATTTATTCACAGCAACAGAACTATTCCTACCAGATAAAACATATTAAGGCAAGAAAGCATTAAAGTAGTTTGTAGACAATAGGTGCTAATTTTATTGAAATTCCTGATTCAACTATATAAAAGAAAAAAGACCATTATGAAGAAAGACGTGTTGTAGACTGTCCATAAGTGCCACTTCCAGGAGATTTTCAAGAGAGCTTCTTTCAGCATTGAGGTAGTCTTGGCATTGACTTAAAGGAAGTTGACTGCACCAAGCAGGCCTATGCCTTTGTCAGCAAAATGCACCTCCCTAACAATGAGATGCTCCATGGAAGGGGTTTGCCCCAAACCGGTCTCTTGACTCTCCTGGGTTTGATCTTCATGAAGGGCAACTGCGCCAGTGAGGAAGGTATCTGGGAATTCCTAAATAAGAGGAGGATTTATGATGAAAAAAGGCACTTCATCCATGGGGAACCTAGGAAACTCATCACACAGGATTTTGTGGATCTAAAGCACCTGGAAGACTGGCAGGGCTCCAACAGTCATCCTCCTTGCCAGGAATTCCTGTGGGGCCCCAGAGCCTACTCTGAAACCACCAAGATGAAAGTCCCGGAGTTTGGGGCCAAGGTCAAGTCCACTGAACCCACGACCTTCCCATACTGGTAAGAAGAGGCTTTGAAGGAAGAAGAAATGAAGTAAGAAGCAAATTCACAGTTATAAAGGAGTAGTCCAGCATTTCCTCTCAAGCTTAGTGAAGCGTAAGGCAGGCTCTTTGTGTTGGAAGAGGGCAGTCAGCACTCTCAGTGGTGGCGGACTGGGTGGGGCAAGAGGGAACACACTGATTAATACTTTTGTTTTGTTCTGTTCTCTATGGGTAAATGATGTATTTACCTGTATCTTGTTAGTCTTTAGATGTTGATCTTTTTGAGAGAAGGCTGTTTTAGCACTATCATATACACTTATGAGTGCTATCCAGATTTTTGCCCCCTCTAGTTTATGATGATAAGCTTTGCTATTTAAAAAAATAAGCAAATAAAGGATGGAGAAAAGGAAAACCTGCTATTTTGATGACCTGAAACATGATAACATTGGAGTGGAAATCTGCTTCTTAGAAAGTAAAGAATAGAATTGTGGAAGAATAAAAATCAAGAAAAGCTGGACTCAAGGAAAAGATATAACAAGCAAGATGGCGAGTATTGGGCATTTGAATCTCTTTTCATTTGCCATTTAAAAAATGGAGATGCTTTACTTTATGTGCTTCACTCATTTAATATTGTAGTAATATTCAAACTGAATAAAAGGGGCCCCACTCCACTCAGTCATGAATGCCTGCAACTTTAAGTAAGCGTGGACTCTATGGATGATACATGGACTGTATGGGTGATGCAGTGCTCATACTTCTTCACAGTCCCTCCTGGGGCATTACTAATACATCTTTCATAGTCCTTTCAGGGGCAGGACTGGAAGATCTCTTGAGCTCTTGTCCCAGTGCTCTTGAAACCACGCTCTGACTGAGGGTCACACCAGGCTCATGGAAATTCCTGAAAAATAAAGGAGATATTCCTGAAAGTGTGACATGAAGAAGTCACTGCTCTGGCACTTTGCTTTCAGCGGGGACCTATTTTCTTCTTTTCACAGTGCTGCTAAGTGGAAGATGTCGTGTCTCCTAATTCACTTTACAGCTCACTGTTCCAAATGTATCCCAAGGATAAAAAGAAAGTCGCTGCCCAAACTGGATAGGACAACATAGTCACAAGAGAGAGCTTGAGAAAAGAAATATTTGAGTTAATTCTGACTCAAACGCAGTGCACCTATATGAGAGAGTAGCTCTGCCCTTGTGGGCTCCTGAGACTGTCCATTTTAATGGACTAGAAAGCTTCATCTTCCTTCCAGTGTGGCGGGTGATTTCAAACTGTGTATCTTCTGGTTAGCAGCAGCCCCAAACATAACCCCTACACCAACAGGGCTCCTGAGGAAAGAAAAGAACATGATACTGGGAGATGTGATCGTTATCTACATGTGCCATGTCAGATACATTGAAAAGATCACATGTTCACAAGATTATCCTGCACAGCCCATTTCTAGGAGGGAGTAAACATTTTAGGACAGAAGTCAGAACAGATACCAAATCTGCTTAGTGCTGCAGCCTCCCCATCTCACATCGCTCTGGGACAGAGACCCATTCTCTGAAGTGTGTGAAGCTGGGAAACTGCTCAAGGCTTTGCACCACTGTGGACTGTCTTAGGAAGCCATCACTCCAAGCAAGTGACGTGTGAGGTAGGCTCTCCCTTTTGTTGTTAAAAAGAATGGTTGACCTTATAAGTCACGGAAGCAAGGTCGGTTGTAAGGAACCAAATGTATAACTTCTCTGTTTTCCCATTCAACATGAAAAACTTGGCTCATTCACACACACACACAGACACACAAACTGTACATATGTGTACATACAAAAGAATGACATGCATAGTTTGATCAATTACTAATCTAAGAGTTAGCAATTCATACCAATTCAGCAGTGCTAGAGAAGAAAGGCCTGGTGGTCTGCTTCCATAATAATTACAACCAAGAAAACCTTAGAGAACTGTTCTAGCGGCGCTGAAAGGTAATTCATGGAAATGCCATGACTCAGGAGTGTCCACAGGTTTTTCCTCGATATTTTTATATTGTGTATATTTAAAATCATTTTATTGGGGGCTCATACAACTCTTATCACAATCCATACCTATGTCTATTGTATGCCAAGCACATTTGCACATTTGTTGCCCTCATCATTGTCAAAACATTTGCTTTTTACATGAGCCCTTGGTAGCAGCTCCTCATTTTTACCCCTTTAGACCCACTCTGCCCTCCCTCATGAACCCTTGATAATTTATAAAATATTATTATTTTGGCATATCTTACACAGTCCAACGTCTCCCTTCACCCACTTTTCTGTTGTCCCTCCCCCAGGGAAGGGGTTATATGTAGATCCTTATAATAGGCTCCCCCTTTCTATCCCACCTTCCCTTCACCCTCCAGTATCACCACTCTCAACACTGGTACTGAAGGGATCATCTGTACTGGATTCTCTGTATTTCCAGTTCCTATCTCTACCAGTATACATCTTCTAGTCCAGCCAGATCTGCAAGGTAGAATTGGGATCATGATAGTTGGTGGGGGAGGGGAGGAAGCATTTGAGAACTAGAGGAAAGTTGTATGTTTCATCATTGCTACACTGCACTCTGACTGGCTTGTCTCCTCCCCGTGACACTTCTGTAAGGTGATACCCAGTTGCCTACAGATGGGTTTTGGGTCTCCACTGTGCACTCCCCTCATTCACAATAATATGATTTTTTGTTCTTTGATCCCTGATACCTTCGACACCTCATGGTCACATAGGCTGGTGTGATTCTTCCATGTGGGCTTTTTGGCTTCTGAGCTAGATGGCTGCTTATTTACTTTCAAGCCCTTAAGACCCCAGATGCTATATTTGTTGATAGCCGGGCACCATCAGCTTTGTGTATTAATAAGTGACAATAGGTTTTTTAAAAAAAATATTCATTGGTAGGTGTATGTATGTGATTTACAAAGCAAAATCTGTTCCTATCAATCAATGTATGCATATGAGTGTGCTTGCATTATTATATCATTAGGTGGTATTGAGTTTGTTCCAACTCCTCTTGGGCCCATATACAAAAGAATGAAAAATTACCCAATCCTGTTCTAATCTTCACAATTGTTAGATTTAAAGCCATTTTGGAAGTCACTGTGTCAATTTATCTTCTTGAGATACTTTCTATTTTTTTCACTGGACCCACTACTTTACCAAATAAGAAGTTATTTTCCAGAGACTGCATATCACTGGTTTCAGAGTAGGTAGTTTCAAACCCACAGTCACTCTGGGTGAAAAGGGAGGCTTTCTACTCATATACATATTTATAGTCTCAGAAACTTGCAGCAGCAGTTCTACTCTGTCCTATAGGTTATCTAGGAGTCAGAATCCACTTGATGGCTGTGAATTGTTTTATGTTTTGTTTGTTTTTCCACTCTCTCCTAATACCAGGTCCAAATTATGGAAATGAAAACCCACTGTCCTCACTTCCAAGGAGTGTCCTGGCTATATTTCTTCCAAGACAGATTTGTTTGCTCTTCTAGAAGTCCACAGTATTTTGAATATTCTTCAGCAGCAGCACACTTCAAATACATTGATTTTATCTCAGTCTTCTTTATTCAATGTGCAACGTTCACGTGCATATGAGGCGAATGAAAAATACAGGGCTTTGGCCAGATGCATCTTAGTCCTCATAGTGACATCCTTGCTTTTCAACACTTTGAAGACTTGTGAAGATTTGACCAATGCAATGTATCCTTTGATTTCTTGACTGCTGCTTTCAGGACCATTGATTGTGCATCCATGGAAAATGAAATCCATGACAACTTCAATCTTTTGTCCACATATCATGATATATCTATTGACCAGTTGTGAGGATGTTTGTTTCTTTTAATTTGTAATGCACACTGAAGGCTACATACTTGGATTTTTATCAGGAAGTGCTTCAAGTCATATTTTTCAGCAAGCAAGGTTGTGACATTGGGATGTCAAGGTAGTTAATGAGCTTTCCTATAGTCTTGATGCTTCTTTCTTCCTCATATAACCCCGTTTCTCACATTCATTTATCAGTCTGGGGATTAAATAACTATGATGAAAGGATACAAGTTATAGTCAAATCTTCCCTGATTTTAAACCATGTAGTATTTCCTTATTCTGTCTTAACAACTGCCTCTTGATCCATGTACTTGTTCCACAGAAGCATAGTCAGGTGTTCAGGAATGCCCATTCCTCAGTGTTGTCCATGGTGTGCTTTGCAGTTTGTGAATATATATTATTTATATAAATATATCTATTTATTATATATTTATATATATGGGCTTCAAGACTACATGGAATTAGTGAATTAAGAGATAATGAAATTTCTGCACAAATTTTTTGAAATGTATGTGCACAGACATGCACTGGAAGCTTTTAAGTGCTTTGAGGAAATTCTATTGTTTTTCAAGTGTTCTAGAATTCCCATTTTTCACAGTGTTGTCCATAGTTTGTTATGCTCCATACAGGCGGATGCCTGTGCACAGTCAATGAAACGCAAGTAAAGACAAACAAAGTTCTTGAATTAACTGAATTAGAAGATATTGGATATTTTTTTCACTAGTTTTTTGAAATTCACACACATATAGACATACACAAGGATCTTTAAAACTTTGGGGGAGAGGAGACCTCCCTAAGATAGCAACCATGTAGGAAGGTCACGCTGGGAATTCTGTGGAGATTTGTGAGTTGGGATATATGGGGGCTGAGTAGGGAGTCTCAACCAGTCAGTTAATTCCCATGAAAGTTGGTTAATTCTCCTGCACCTACAGGAACTGGTCCAGCACCAGCCACTGTGCTGCAGTAGAGCACTGAGTTTTGGCCGGCTGCAGCTTCCTGAGTACCCTGAGTTCCAACCACCCAACAGAAGGGTATTTAATTGTGTTTTGATATTCCAAATGATAAAGGCACTTCTGCTGCCCATTAGTAGATCCCCCTGTCAAAACCAGCACTTTCTTTCCTTCCTTTTCCATGCCCTGACAGTGTGCCTGTCCCCTTAACAGACTCAGCTGGCTGCTTCTATCCAAGAACAAGGGCCTCCCATCCCAACCACATCCCCACTCCTGGAGCTGGTGTAGCCGTGGTTTGATTTCCC